GCGGCGCTGGGGCCCGGCGGCGGGGGCTGCGCCACGGCGACGGCGTGCCGCGTGAAGACGGTGTCGTTGACGCCCACAAGCAGCGACGCCGGCGGCCGCTGGAGACAGGCTGCTTCGAGGGCGACCAGGACTGGCCGGGTTAGCATCTCTTCTCTCTCTTGTGGAGAAACGGGCTTCTTTACAGTTTGACAGGTAGGCGTGCTGCCCGTCTGCTCGCACGCACTGCCGGCAGCTCTCAAAGTACATGCCCGCCGCGGCGCCGGCATCCACGTCGCAGTATCCAAAGGCCGGCACGGCACCCGGCCTCGTCATGTCGCGCTTCAGGGCGTCGGCCAGCGCGCCGCACGACTCGGGCGTCGCGCAGGGGCTCGGCGTCCCCGTGGCATTGGGGTACCCCAAGACGCAGTAGTCGACGGCGTACCGGAGATTATCTAGTGTTTTCTTTTAGCACATCAGCGCACGGCGGGACTTTACAAACGGTCAAGTCCAAGAGGCGTACATAGAAACCAGGCCTGGTCGCCCTCGCTGCCCTGCGTGTAGGTGCTGCCCTGCAAGCACCCCAGGCAGTCCTTCAACCTGCGCCCAGTGGCATCGCCGTCGAACTGCCCGTCGGCGCAGACAATGTCCCCCGCGCGCGTGCTGGACGAGTCGGGGTCCGAGGCGTCCAGCCCGGCCGCGTCGATGCACGCCGGCGAACACGGCGAATTGGGCGTCACCTGGAGGGCCGCGACGGGCGCCGCGAGCCGGAGGACGAGGAGGATGAGGCGCGTTCTCGAGGCCATGATGTTTTCTTTCTTGGGTGGTGGTTAAGCAGCGGTCAAGACGGGATATTTCGCCTACCCGGCCGGACGCTCTTTGTTCTTTGACCGCGGGAATCCGGGAGTGCTCATCAAGTTTTCCAGACGGGAGATCGCCAACCAGCCTCCTCTCTCGCTCGACGCTTCATACACGTCTGTACGACAACAGAGGGCCTCGGACGGGAGAAGATGCAGATACCAACAGGTTGCACACACAGCAGCACGCATGCAATATCTACCCCGTCACAACGCAGCGTCGCACGCCAGCCCCCCGCACGCAGGGCCATCACACGCAGAGGGCACGACGGCACTCATCACCCCCAATCACCAATACTGTTTGGGGGGGACGGGCGAGAAATGGCGAGAAAAGCAGCCCTTTGTTGCGTCGCCGAATCAGAGGCGCAGGATGCCAGGGGGCGCGTGCTGTGCGTCCCAGCCGGGCGCTTAAAAAAAATGTGACGTCGCATTCGGATTTTTTCGCCTTGCCAGGAGGAATGAGAAGAAAGAAAAACCTCCGAGAAACGCGCCATGCGGCCGAGTGGTCGCCAATCCGGGCGCCGTTTCCGAACATCACACTTTGCTTGGGGGACATGATCAGGCGTGAATTAGAAACACGGCCGGTGCACGACATTCGCTTGGCAATAGTTCCTAAATGAAGCGGGGAGCCCGTCTCGATATGCTGTACACGTCCCTCGGTGTACATATCGCGAGAAAGATACGGCGTCACAATCAATATACACTGGCGGTTAATTTACGTAGTCGTATTGAGTTTCTCAGCTACGCCTCCCAAAACATTTTATGCCAAACGCCGTGTGCCTAACGTCACAAGAATATGGTACAGCGAGACCGTCCACATATCAACAAAAGTAACAAAGAACAAAACTCCCTTTCCCCTGGCCTCACCGACAGTCCAAACTGCCGGGGTGCCACTTAGTCGCTGTCATCGTCCGATCCGGCCTCTCCCTTCGCCGCCTTCTTGGCAGCCTTGGCCGCCTTCTTCTCAGCCTTTCTTCGCTTTCGCTCCGCCTTCTCGTCAGGGGTCTCGCCCTCGTGCTTCTTTCGCTTCTTCTTCTCGCCGTCGTCGGCAGCAGGCGTAGAAATCTCCATCTTGGTCTCCTCGACCCTCTTCACAGGCGTAGGTGCCGGAGCGGCGGCGGCGGCGGCGGCAGCAGCAGCAGTGGAAGCATCAGCCGCGCTGTAGTCCTTGTACTCCGAGGTCCACTTGGCAGGCGTGCTGTCGTTGGGACGGCCAAACTTGTCCAGCTTTCCATCAGCCTTGAGCTTCTTCTTCTCCTGGGCGACAGGGCCGAGACCCCAGCGTCGAGGGTACAAGTCGCGCTCCATGATGCAACGCTTGACCTTGGCAACCACACCGTGGTCGCAGGTAGACATCTCAACAGTAGACATTTGAGCAATACCAATCGCAATAGCCTCGCCCTTGGTGGTCATGAGGACAACCTCTTCATGGTGCTCAATACCGGACTCTGTACCCATTGATTAGCCCGTTGTTCTGAACCATTGCATACGTTAAAGTTACATACCATATCTCAGGAGACCGGGAAGCATGAGCTTAGCACCGTAGCACACAGCATTGACAGCACTGTCCTTGACAACAAGTCGCTTGTAGCCAGTCAAGAGGGTCTCAAGAGGAGCGATGACCCGGCGCAGGTAGGATTCGTCACGAGTGTTGTCCATGGTCCACTGGGCATCGAGCACGTCATGAAGAGTAACCAGGTGCTTGTTCTCATCCATCGCACCGCTGCGAACACGGCGCAGCTCCTGCATGTGCGCGCCAACGCCGAGAAGCAAACCGAGGTGCACGCAAAGAGTTCGAATATAAGTACCGGCCTCGCAGCTGACCCAGAAGACACCCAGGTGGCGGTCATTGTCAAACTCGATAAGCTTGCTCTCGTAAATGGTTCGGACACGGAGCTGACGCTTGACAGCAGAGATCAGGGGAGGACGCTGGAACAAAGCACCGGTGAGGGTTTCGAGAGCGCGGGCGAGCTGGGCCTGACCGCCAGGCAGCTTGTCGTGGAGGCGAATGACGCAGACGTATTCCTTTCCGGCACCCTGCTGGGACTTGACCAGCCGAGTAGCGCGGTCAATGCAGACAATCAAGCAGCCAGTGACCTTGGGGTCGAGGGTACCGCTGTGGCCAGTCTTTTCAACGCTATTGCATCAGTTAGCGAGAATGCCTTCCGCCATTTCAACATTTTCGAATTTTTTTTTTTTAAAAAAAAGGGCCCACGAACCGAAGAATACGCTTGACCCAAGAGACAACTTCGTGACTGGAAGGGTTGGAAGGCTTGTCGAGATTAATGACACCAGAGCTGACATAAGACTTGATGTCTCGCTTCAACGGAGAGCAGCCATTGGGGATCGGTGTGAAGTGGCCGGTTCGGACAAGCACTGCAGGCACACGTTGTCAGTCAATCTGTCCATCTCTCACATGCTCAATTGATTCCACCCAGAGCAAGAAACCAATTGACCATTTCCCAGGACGCGTTGGCACTCACGCTTGTCGTAGTTCTTGAGGAGCAAAGGCCACGAGCTCGTGTCCACGGCAGGTGTCACGGCCTGGGGCTTTATGGTGTGCTCCTCCACCACCTTTTGGCTTTTGACAACTTCCATCGTCATTTTAACTGATAATGTAACCGGGATCCTGCAGCCGGCGTATAATGCACACTCGTATGGGGGTGGCTCGACGAGGGCGTGCTTGCAGGTTCGTGGTGATGTTTTGCACCGAGTGCCAGTGGCGGTTTGAAAAGCTTCCAATTTTTTTTTTCTCTTTTCCCTTTTGCTTGTGGGGACGTTGAGCCTTGCTGACGTGTGGCTGAAAGAACAAGCTAGTCGCTTTTGGGGCTGGGGCTTGTGCAAGCCACAACACTAGCCACATTCATCAACTCCCGCCAGGCGCAGGCAAGAAACGTTTTGTCGCGACTTTCATATCATGAAATTTCAAATGCCATGTTATATTTCGCTGCCTACGCAATCACAATATGTGGCTGATTATTGTCCTACCCTTCCAGAAACATATACAGAGTAAGGAGAAGCTGAACTCTTCCAACACCTAACACCATGCAAAAATAATAGCCCAATGTCCCAATGCCCACCACTTGGCGCAATTTGTCACCCTCAAATGACCCTCTGAATGACATTTCCACGTCTGTCATCGTGGCCAGTCAGCGCGAGCTGAGGTCACGGCACATTCCCGTCCCTCCCACAACCCGGGTGGTTCAACACAGGCGCCTCGCTCCTTTCTCCGGGCGGGTGGCTTCTTGAGCTGCTGCTCTCGCTGGTATCTACCAGGCGCATCTCATAGGCTTCCACTCTCGCCTTGCCCTTGTCGTCTGAAACTGCGCTCCGGGGCTCGCCGGAGCCCTCGGCGCCAGCCGCAAGGCCGGCATGCTGATTCGGGGGCAATGCTCCTTGCGGCCATGGCATGGCCTGCCCATCACGCGCACTGACCGGGCTATTGTACTGGCTGGAATAAGGCGAAAAGTATCTGGGAAACGGCTTCTCGCCGCTTGCATTCACGGGGGAATCATCCCAGCCCCGAGAGCCCTGCCGGCTCACGGGAGTGTCATCCCATCCATGGCCCCGGAGAGGGCGTTGGCTGACGGGGGTGTCGTCGTAGCCGCGAAACGACTGTGATCCAGGAGCCTGGCCCATCTCTTGCTGGTGGGTAGGCGATGACCAGTCCCTCTGGGCAATCTTGGTATCCCGGTCTCGCAGATATGCCCTTCTGCGGCGCTTCCCATTCCAGATGATGAAGCATCCGACAACAATGAGGAGTGCTACAAGCGCGCCAACGGCAATGCCAACCTTGGCACCAAGGTTCAGGGGACCGTGGTCAAACCAAGCCGGATTGACGGTTGCCGTGGGACTCGGCGTTGAGATTTGCACAGCCGTGGTGGAAAAGAGCTCGCCGTCGAGCCCAATGTAAAGGCCCGCCGGCGGCTTCTGCTCGCAGCCAGCCTGGAGGGCAATGACAACTGCATGAAGAGAATAGTCAGCAGGTTGGACGGGATGAGTCAGTACGAGAAGAACGCTCACAGTTGGCCATGTACTGCCTGCCTTCAGCCTGCAGGCAATCAGTGCAGCCCTGGAAGTCTGGAGCATCATCTGTCGGCCAGAGATCACAATACTGGTACGCGTCGTAGGTCGAAGACAAATTTTTGAACTGCACCGCATTCTTGAACGGCCCGCATGCCTTGCTGCTCGAATGTTAGTCTTGGAGTTGACCAGAGCCTCAGGAGAAGAGCAAAAAAAAAAAAAAAACTCACGTAGTAATACAAGGCGTGTTGGTAACCTTGGGGTTCTTTGCCGGCGCATCGCCCCAGACGCAATACGACAACGCATAGCGGACATTATCTTGACATTTCGCCTGTCAGCAGACTCGTCGGCTGGTCCAAAGAGGCACGGCACCTACAAAGCATAGACTGGATGTCGCTGTCGTTCCCACTGTGGTAGGGGCTGGGTCTCTCGCAATCGACACATGCAGCGAACTGCTGCCCCGTGGGATCGGACGAAAAGCTGCCCTGGCTGCAAACTAGTTCCTCTGGAGCCGTCTTGTCCAGGATATTACCACAGTTGGCAGCGCATGGCGAACCAGAGGGCACGAGAATTGACTGCGCCGCTGGCAGCAAGGCGGCTAGGAGGACTGGCAACGGGGGAGGTCGTAGCATGATATTGCTGGCACGGATACGGCCGTTGTGGATTTCGTAGGCTTCGTGGGTTCCCTTGCGGAGCGACTAAGCGCCAAGGAGATCCAAGAATGGCGGTGGGTGTCTGCAGGCAAGCCCCTTGACAGCTTGTAGTGCCCTCACATTAAACAAAAGAGAGTCTTCTTCTTCTTCTTCTTCTTCTCTTCGTCTTCACCCTTCCGTTTCGAAACGAGAATTCAGGTCATCCGGCGACGTTGATATATCCCCCAAGCTTGTCCGACCATCAGCCTGTTGGTTCCAAATCTTGCCACGGCACAGGACAAGAGACGTAGTCGCATTGCGCGCGTCCGATGCGTGTGACAACGACCTTTGGGGGGCGGCATGAGCACACTCCCCCCAAGCTCGCACGGCACACGGCACACAGCAACGGGCGCACAGCATAAGTCTAGGTCAAGCTGCAGGTCAACAAGTATCGACTTTGTGCTCCAAATGGTGAGAATGATGTCCACCCGGACCGCCATGCAGTCCGCGACTCCTCCCCAGCCCTCTCTCTGCCTGCAGGGTGCGGGCCTGTCACATCCGGAAGGGATCCACCTACGGCAGACTCAAGGCCGGCGCTTCGGGGTCCAATCATGATCCTCAGTCTCATATGGTCCTGCAGCACCCTTGTCCGACCTCCACACATGACACATGATTCGTCAATTCGCAGCCAATCCCACCGCCATGTCGCTTTGTGATGAGAGGTTGAGAGCAGTCCAAACCAGACTCGACCCCATTCCCCCAGGAACGCTATGCATCTTGATACCGGCCCGTCCCCATCATAGGCCTTTCTGAACTTGGGTGCTTGTAGGATTCAAAGACCTTTTGACGTGACTTGGCCTCATTTCGTGCCGAATTATCCAGCGAGTACCCCGTACGTCCCGAACCATTTACTAATCCGATGGCTTTACGGGCCGGTCCCGAGTGGGTCCCATGTCATCCTTGAGCTGACGTGCACATTAGCCTTCTCTTCTGCGTAGCGTACGAATCATTTATGCCCTATGGATTAGGTTAATTCTTACTGAATTCCTCGGCGACAAAACCGCATGGCAATTCTTCTATTACAGAGTAAAAAATAGTCAAAATTGTAGTAAAATTACGGTACCAAGAACCGCTTCTGCCGTAGCATCACCAGTCAACACCACAAGTCGCGCATCGCTCACTGTCCCCAAAACAGCCTTCAAATCTCAGATTCTGCAAACTCATCACGGCCGTTTCTTCACGCCCCGAAACGCATAACATGTAAATGCTGCCAGATTTCCACAAAATATAAACACGCAAGCCACCCAACCAACAAAGACGACAATGCAAACCCCAACACTCCCTTATATCTCATCCATAGTACAAATGTCCTTGTACTCACTACCATATTGCGCTGCGCGGCCGATTTATGGACTTTGCAAGCGACCGTTCCACACATCTCAACGATGCCATGAGCTCTAGTGGGTCTATCTTGCCGTCACTGACAAGAACCATGGCCTTGGGTGTCTTTGGGCCCTGTGGCGCTTTAAGGTTAAGTGGTTCGGGAACCACCGTCTTGACTATATCAGATGACTTGTGGCCAGTATTGCGAAGCTTTGACCTGGTAGCTGCAGGAGTCGACGTCTTTGACGTTTTGGGACTCTTCGCGTCCAGCTTCGGCGACACCTGAGGCTTGGGCGGCCGCGTGGCAACCTCCGGTGCGTCTTTCCCGCTCGCCGGTCGTGGTGTATTTTGCGTCGATCGCCTTCCTACTCTCTCTGGCTGGGCAGGAGGGCGCGCTGGAGTGGTAGTTGCTGGCCTATTGTTCCCAGGTTGGTGCTTCTGTTGCCCGGTTCTAGAGCGGGATCGGGAGCCGTGAACGGGACAATTGGGCGCGGTGTACTCTTCGATAAGTGTGAACTGAGATAGGTCTACGGGCTCGGGGTGGCGGCCTCGGCTGTTATTTGCGCCGTTCCGCCGTTCGCGGCTTCCAGGCGTAGCGGCTTTCTGATCCGTGGCGGGTCTATCCTCGCGCCGACGACCACGGCTTGTTCCTCTGTCGACAAGTTTGGCGGGCGTGTTTGACCTTATTTCGCGCTGCATGAAGGCGCTTTTAGACGGAGGCCGGTCACCGATTCTCCCTTTGGAGCTACTCCTTTGTCTGATACGACCGCTTGAAACGGGGCGAAGAATTGGCGGATCTTGAAGCACGGGATTGGGCCGCCGCTGTCTGCTCGTGTTACTCGAGTCTCTCGAATCCGCAGAATTGGCGGGATGCGGGCTAAGAGCTATCGGTATCGAAGCAGTCATTTGGCTGCTGTCATAGCCATGGTCTTGTAGCATTGGCATCGGTCTCCTACTCCGGCCCTTGCTCCGACTTCTCGAGACTTGATGTCCAGAGGTAGAGTTTGAACGGTCTCGATTGCCGTTGAAGGAGAAGTGTTGTTGCTGAGATACGTCGGCGAACGTGGCCATGTCTTCCAGTCTTTGGCAGACAACTCCAAGTTCGTTCTCGCCTGCGACGTCTGACCTTGATCTCTCGTGACCACGAGATCGATTTCTGTGGCGAGACCCTACGGAGTAAGGGTGAATTGGACGAGACTCTTGTCTCGAGGCATCAGTGAGGTCATTCATGGGCGATGTTCGTTCAGGGGCATCGTAACGAATTCGGCCAAGCGATGTCTCGTGAGGTGGTGTGGACCGGTTGATCATGTGGTTAGCGATGCTCGGTGGACGCCCAGGCTGGTTATTCCACACAGAAACATCAGACCTGATACTATAGCGATTTTCCTGGTTCGCGAGTAACGAACTTTCCGGGAAGATAAGATCATCCGCCTCATCTGGAGATGTCCATCTTGAGTCAGGCACTTCAGCTGGGGAAAATGGTGTAGATGCCCAGCAAAGTCGGGACGAATCGAAAGGCGACTCGGAGAATCGAGACTCAGACGCCGCCCAAGGAGATAGTTCGGCATTGATGTTTGACCCATGGAAACTGACCTCTCCCCCCAGAATTTGGAAAGGCCCACAGCTGACTTTTGCCGAATATGATGCAGGGGAAGGTCCATTCAGGTATCTCTGGCTGTTGGGGTGATTTGTTGAAACCGCGAGCCTAGGCCGGACCGAATGAGGGGTTGGACTCGGAGCTGTTAGTGTATGCGTATCCGAACTCTCTAGGCCATGTCTCATGGACGGATCTGAGCGAGGTTGATTGAACAAAGTGTTTCTGCTGTACTTGGCAGACGGGTTCTTCCCTTGGGCGGCGTCGGATTCGCCCTGGGACCCCTGATGGCCGCTCGAGGACGGATCTTCAGACTCTCTTCCGCCTTGGGGATGCTGGGAACGATGGTTCTCGTAATCCTTTCGGTGATCGTTTTCCTCTGGCTCCCCAGCGTCGCCTTCAGGGTTGTCCTCCCCAGGCCGATATACTAGTTTGGCATATGGAGCTGCATCAGTATCGACAACGAGCAGCTCTTTGTCCCCGCGGCCGAGTATTCCGTATACTCGAACTTCGCCGGATTTAATGCCGATGACAGCACTGGTGCCAGCATACGTGACTTCCCCCTCCATTCCAGTACGATTTGCAAACACTACTATGACTTCCTCGGTGGACTCTGCTCTTATTATTGGTTCAAGGCGGGAAACCCAATAGAGCAGAGTGTTCATGTCTGGTTCCTGAGGCATACGACTAAACTGACGGGGATCATCATTGGTGATCCAAGCCATGGATATCACAACCAGACGAGCTCCGCAATCTAAAACATGCTGGGCAAACTCGAACTTATCCCACGGTGCCTCGAATTTGTACGGGCTGCGATACAAATTAGAACATGCGAGTCTGAAGTTTGGCAACAATCTCAACCTTGCCGCGAACTGACGTACTTGAGGTCCATGCAAATTCCGATAGCAGTGCGTCCCAGGCCATCCAGTCTCTCGCCAAAGAACCCGGCAGGCCCTTCCAGGGCCCATGTTTCGTCCGTGTAGTACAGGTGAGTCTTTCGGTAGTTGGCTACCGTCTCTCCCTCGCCGTTGACGATAATGGCTGCATTGTAATATTCCGGGTTTGTCGGCCACTTGAAAGTCGGGTCGACCTTTTCGGGATAGCCAGTTATGACGGTACAGTCGTATTTCAAGGCGGTAGTTCGGGTCCACAAGGAGCTGATACCAGCAACTGATGGTTCGAGGAACTGCGATATGTCGCCCAAAGACTTGAAGTTGTATCCTACACTGGAGTTAGAAAACTTGACAATGTTTTGCCCCTTTGGTCCTCTTGTCTCTCAATCAGCGGCCAAGCTGGATCCAACCAGATGCAGAGCCCAAGCCCGTGCATCATGGAGTCCCCGCGCACGACGTACCAGAAAAAGCCAGCTCCGGCAAAACCAGCAGGTCAAGAGCCTCGGGATCTACGCGACTCAAAATCGCATCCGCCCGGTTGAGATTATTGTCCACATCTCCAACCTGCGGCGCAAACTGAAGACATGCGATCCTCATCTTGGCCCGTCGACAGCGCAGGCCAATGTGGCTTTCGCACTGCGCATCTGCTACTCCCACCTCGGCCTCGATCGCCAGCCGTATCGGCGGACCTGAACGGAGCTCAGCGACCAAATAGGACGCCCGAAAAAGAAAATTCAAGCGCAACCAACACCGAAAAAAAAACAATCACCAAAAGCGGAATGCTGGACCAACGGGAGGATATAATGGTGGTTTGTGCGTCGAGGTGTGGTAACACAACCGGTCGGTTCCTACCCAAATTTCATCATTCCAGTCGGCCCCCCGAAACTGCCCAAGTGACTGGGGCACCATAGCTCCAGGGAGCAGGGCAGGCAGGTCATGGGGTTGCTCGATTGATTGGGCAGCCCGAGCTTGCTGCTAAACAGACTTGCTGGACCAAAACGTAGGTGGCACGATGCCGTCACGCGTGATGAAGTTGGTCGTAGCCTCGTAGGACGAATGGCTGGGCTTGCCCCTCGCGGCGTGCGACCCCAGATTGTGAACTGTGCCATGATTCGCCACCAGGCGTCCTT